TTGTCGAGATTAACATTGCTTTTTAGGATCGCCATGAACACGCGACGACAATTTTCCCGCCTGGCGACAAGGGTGGGAAGGCGATCATAGAATTTTCCACATCCCCTCTAAACCAGTTCTACGAACCGTTCACTCGGTATCACAGGCAGATCGAGGACACGGACGTCTCTGTGCATTCGCATCCTTGGGGCAGCTCCAAGTTTGGCGTTGTTTCCTTCGACACTTCGGAAGAGGATCGTTTGGTAGTGGACTACGACTTGGTGGTTCAAGGGCAGAAGACGTGGAATTACACCTGGACTTATCAGCGACAGCGCTCGGTTGAGAAAATAGCTCAGCTAGGGCGGGATCTTATCGGCAGGGGTTGATGCAGGTTAAATCACGTCAATCTTGTTCGAGAGGGGCAGGTGTGTGATGAGATGAACGAATTCTTTTTTGTTTGTTGGAAGAAAAAAATGAAATCTTGTCAAGCGTGGTGTCTGTCATGTTTGTTGAGACCAGTCCGGCCAAGTCGCCCTCCGCCATTCTCCCTCCCGTGTCCCGTTTTCCCGTGCCCGGTCAACCCCCAATTCATTTCGGATCCTGCAAACGCCTCCCTCATATTCCCAGCTCGCCCGTAAACTCCCGCTCATGTACCCTAGGTGGCATGTCTAACGCATGCAAGAATCGAAGATTGAAAGTTGCTTGGAGTGCCATGGATCTGGCTGTGCTCCGTTTGGTGTGAAGAAGACTCGGCGGACCAAGTGGTCCGTTGCCTGGTGTTGCCGGTGCGCCCATGTGGTAACTATGGAATTGCCATCGTGTGCCTCGTTGTTTGTGGTCTTAGACGACGGGTTGCAAGACGTCGGACTCGGGCATGTGCGCCGCTGCCTCATCACGGCGAGCGATCGCAGCCAGGTTGCCGTGAACACCAGCTCTGGCGTTCAGGTTGTACTCATGGCGGATGATGTTGTTGAGCGGGGTAACGGAAGCCTGCGACACTCCGAAGAGCGCGGCGACCATAACATAAGCGAATGTGACCTTCATGATGACTGTTGTCGAAGCAAACGATCTGCGCTGCGGTTCGATATCGATTTCGCGTTCGCGGTAAGGCGTGGTGGTAAGGAGTGAACGGTGGTGTCGAGGTCAACTCGAGAGAGGCAAAAAGGACAGAGAGCAACGGACGGAGTTTTTTTGCACACACTGAGGCTTGACACTCGCGAACACGAAACACTGTCGAAGAAGATGGAGGGTAGACGGGGTCATTAAGTACGAGACAGCGGCGGACGGCTTAGACGGGATGATAATGGCTCTTAATCAATGTTCAAACCTTGATCGTCTCTGGGGTGGAGCCAATGGCCGTGAGAGATTCGGATCTTCGCACGCGCCATGAGGGAAGGTGGTAAGGGGATCAGCCAGAATGACTCGGCAATGTGAGGGACTCAAGGGTTGACTGCTGTGCCATGCGGGCAGCGGCACAGCGGCACTGAGAGAGCAGCCAAAGGGCGCTGAGAAACAGCCCTACAGTGAGTGTTTCCCATGGATGGCGTGACTTTGCTTATTTAGCTCAAGATTGGGGCAGCGGTTTCATGTATGTTGAGATACGCGCAGTGATATACGTTGCAGGGCATGGATCAACCCGCTTGGCTCGGGCGATATGACACAGTATTGTAACCCATCCGTTCTTCTGCCAGGCACGCCAGGAACCGCACGGCGCCGGCTGAATTGCTATGCAGGATTCTCCGAATTGCCATGCCTCTAAGCGACAATCTACTCGGATCACCCGAATAGTGCCCAGCCCCGAATTGATGCTTTTCTCGTCCCGGCCCCCGTCCGGCTGACTAGACGGAGCCAAGCCCCTACGACTGCGGACGGCGGAAGCGGCATAGCAGATGAAAGTGCGCCGGGGGCATGCATAGACTTGCTGCAGTCGGCTGACAAAGGAGAACTCAATTGCAAACGAAACAGAATGAAATACAGAAGCAACATGACAGCGTAAACCTCGGTTAGTCCGCACGTCTGTAACTGATTGATAGTGCCTGTTGCGTGGCTCGAGCGGCACATGCTTGATGGCAAGGGGCAAACGGGAAGGGAAAACGTGGAGCTCGGCTGGCCTCTCTCGCCCGCACCCGATGAACCCTCCCTCCCACCAACACGTCACTGACCTCACCATCCCTAACTCCCCATCCATCTGAAGCCGGAGGGAGAGTTGACAAGTCGAGTAGTTTGCTCTTTCAACGGACGGAGAATCGGATCGTCTGAAGGTGAGGTTCTCGATGGAATAAATGTTATTGCGCTCTGGCGCTCTCAAAGCCCGTTCGGTATCGCTATCGGATCCGTATCTCGAGGCTCGCTAACCGGCATGTTGCCATTCCATGTTGTTTCCTGAGCAATCGAAACTTCTGCCATACCGCAAACACAAGTTGAAGTTCATGCTCCCCGGCTTTCTGGTTGAGTTTGCATGGCAAAAGTAGCTCCTGAGCGGTAGCCATTGGTCTAAACAGGCAATTTTCTGACTAGCTGTCGCATTCTAGAACTGCGCTCTGGCTACCGTCTCTTCGGTAGCCAACGCTTTTCGGTATGTTTTTGCCGATGCCTCTAGCAGCTGACATTGAGACTTTCGCGAGTTGGTGTTGAAGCTTGGGACGATGACCTGCATATAATAAGTGATTGCTCTCCCGCCATCTCTCATCGTCTTATTGTGAGCCAGCAACTCTCTCATACTTGTAATTCTCAGCTATCTCAATCTATTCAATCTACTAAATACTATTCGCATAATAACCTCAACATGAACGGCGCAAACGGTGCAAACGTGGCCCAGGCCCAGGCCCAGGACGACAAGTCATACCTGGCCATGGTTGGTAACGCCGACGCCGAAGTGGAGCGTCTCCAAATCCAGCACCGCTGGATCCAAATGTGCCTCAACGACAAGATCGCATTCGCCCCCGTCGACCTCAAGAAAGACGGGCTAAAGGTCCTCGACATGGGCTGCGCCGATGGTACGCTGCTCCCATAGCCAGTTGCATTCACCAGAACCTGAAGTTGACGCGCAAGATTAGGGACGCTCCTCAGAGACCTGCAGAAACAAGTCCCACCCTCCGCCGAACTGGTTGGCGCAGACGTGTCGACCGTTTTCATGCCCACGTCAGCTCAGGGCAACATCCGCTACGTAACCCAGGACGTCTGCGATCCACCCGCGGACGACCTCAAGGGCAAGTTCGACATGACCCATGTCCGCAACGTACTTCACAGCACGAGTAAATCCGGCGTTGAGAAGGCCGTGGCAAATCTTGCGGGTGAGTTTTCGTGTCTTTCGCCACTTCTGAGTTGCATCGTGGCCTGACTTTTGATAGAAACGCTGGCGCCTGGCGGATGGCTGCAGGCTATGGAATTGGACGTGTCTTCCGACCAGCCAGACCAGCCTCAGGCCCTGAAGGATGTCATCCACATTATCGGAACGATGATGGAGAAGGTGGGCATGGATCGGGGTTACCAGAAGAAATTGCCCGAGGCATTCAAAAAGGCGGGGTTGCAGAACGTCAAATTGGAGCGGATCAACTGCGGCGTCGGCAGAGTGCATGCCAACGACGAGGACATGAAAATGTCTATTGAGCCATTTAAACGCACAATCGCCCTTGTTTCAAGACAGGCGAAAGGTCAGTCGCATCCTTGGCGCCAACTATGATGGAGCTGACGTTGCATCGCTAGTGATGTGCCCCGAGATGCCGGCTTCAGTGTTTGAGAACCTCGAAGAGAGATACATCAAAGACATGACGGAGAAGGGCGGAAATTTCCCCGGTGTCATTGTTTACGGCCAGAAGGTTGCGTTGTAAGCTGATGAGCATGCCGACTAACGCTGCATGTAAGAATACTGTCAAACAGAGAGAGGCGACCCAGGTGGTCAACTTAGTTTTTGGAGTGTAATGAAAGTTAAGTTCGATGATCTTTCGAAGAAGAAATGCAGCGACGGGAATGACAGCAAACAGCAAAGGCAAAAGGAGGTTACGTGAGACGGCTACCATGGCTACTCTATTCGTAGATGGTTCAACCTCGCCCCACGACACACTCTAATCCCGCATACCCCTGGTTCCTTTTGCAAATGATATCATTCACTATTGACTCTTTCAATCCTTTACACGATAGTCATCATTCTTGCCGCAAATTCACAACACCTCTCACTAACGCTGATGTCTCTAACAAGCCACCGGAGGAGCAAATTCGTAACAGGTAGATCCGGAGCAGCACCAGGCCCAACCATCGCGGCAGACAGCCTCTGTAGGCTGACACCCGGCAGCCTGTCGTTGCTTGACACCCTCGGGAGCAGCAAGCGCCATGGTAGCCGCGACAAAGAGAGCGGCGAAATTGAGCTTGATCATACTCTTTCGTTCGGATCGTTTGATTGTCAGCGCCTGTTAATATCACGTCGTAAGTCATGCGAATAAGATAGTCAGAGGTGTGTGCTCACATTGGAGAATTTTGAACTTGAGTTGAATAACTCTGTTGTGAGACAGAAACTCCGGCGGTGACTATGCTGTTCTCAAATGCATTGCAAACCCAGTTTTGTGAGAGGACTGGCCTATCTATATATAGGTACCCGCTTGTGGACAGCTGATCAAGATGCGCGGGTGAATTTGAAATCGGCAAACTTGTCTCATCAAGGAAGGTGTTCTGGAAGGATCACAGGATTACTCTTGGCGCCTACCTCGCACTTGGGCAACTCGGGCAAAGGAGCAGAACTGCGTTTTTTCTTGAACCCGTCCTTCCTAATTGAGGTTAACCGTCCTTTCCATTATTTAGTGAGTGAAAGAGTGGTCGTACACGATAGGAAGCGGAACACTGTTGTGTGGGGTGCGTTCTAGTGGTAAAGGCGATGGGTACTACATCGTCTCAGCACGGCTCATGTTCTACAGCATATCGTACCTAAGAGTAACGTTAGATATTTTGAGAAAAGAAGTATCGCATTGCATGTGTCCAAAACATTAATCACATCCTAATGAGTGCTGGTCGGCTGTCTCCAGCCGTGGTCAACCCGCCCTCGACGGAGATTCCTGCTTGGTACCATCGTAGCTGTCCAGTCTCTCAATTCTCTGCTCTGCTCTTTTCCCCTCATCTCTGCGATGAAGTTCATTGAGGTATCCTTTGAAGTCTTTGGATAGTTCAACTACTGCTCGGAGGTGGTCATCCTTCACCATAATTCTTCCTTCGCGGTCTTTCTCTGCGTCATACTCTGCCAGAGCAATAGCTGTCTGAAATGCTACAGCGGTCATTCGTTAATAACTCACTCACACACCAGAGCTCACAGTTTTCATTTACTGTGCCACTTACCATTTCCGATATCTCTGCCGTTCCATTTAAGGCGTTGGTTCCTCAAAGACTCGATGTACTCCGTGGCATTCAAAGTCAGACGCATCGTATCACCCTTCTCTCGAGCAAGCTTATCGATGAACGTCTGCCACACTCTTTGCCGCTCGTCATCACTGAAGTCTGGGTAGTACAGTTGTATGTGGATGCGGGAAATGAAGGCATCGTCGAACGAGCCCACTCGATTCGTCGTGAGAAATAGTATGCCATCGTAGAACTCAAGGGCCCTTAGAAACCCTTGAGATCCAGTCAGAAATCTCTTCCAAGCGAGCCAAGGTCAAATCGTTACTCACCAGCGACTAAACTGTTCCGCATCAAATCAGACGTTGTGCGACGCTCCATAAAGACATCAGCCTCATCGATAAGAAGAACAGCGCCCCATTTCATGGCTCTCTTGAAGTTTGCTGTCAGATTCGACTCCACTTCTTGGGGATCTGTGCCAATGTCGCTGCTCGTCAATATCATCAGAGGACGGTGAGTGAATTCGGCAATGCATTCTACATATCGGACTTCCTGTTAGTATACGTATGCACACGAGGATAGCATGAGGAACTACCGGCTGTGCAAGTTTTTCCAACACCTGGTTTGCCATGCAAGAGAAAAATCAGGCCGGTTCCCTTGCCACGCACAAAGTCTGCGCTCCACCTCGTTTCCTTCATGACTTCGCCGTGTTGGGTAAGTCTAGCAAAGCTCTTTGATAGAGCCATGATTGTTTTCAAGCGCCTCTCATCCATGACTAGATGGCTTATCATGTTCTCGTTGAACTGAGGATCGGATAGGTTTCGTACATGAACCCGTTCTAACTAATGTTAGTTTCACGAGTCTGAACATATTTGGCAAATAGCCCATCTTACCCCACGTTCGAGTCCGGAAGACCCAGGTCCAAACCTTGCAGGGCAGTAGAAGGAGTTCGTGATCGATTAGGCCATCGTCCTTATCTCGGTTTCCAAAGTTGATAAAGAGAGGTGGGCGGCGCGTCACAAGGCTTCCTTCTTGCTTCCTTCTTGCTTCCTACGTACGCATACATCGCAAGTACACTCAGTTGACCAGTCTCTCAGATCATCATCTGCCATTGGCTCAGGCGCTAGCCTTGGATACGTGTCATGGAGACTCTTGACATCTACCATGACCATTCCATCGACCTACTTAGTCAATACAAGAAGCAGCAGACAAGAATTTGACACTAAGATACTGACCTCAATATGTGGGAAATCCGCAGTTTTGCCCCTGTGTTGGTAACATTTGGGCTCTAGCATTTTGATGAGATTCTTCCCGTTCTCAATAAGTTCACGGGCTGACTCGTCTTCAAGAAAGGTGTCGTCGGCAGTCGGATCGATGAACTTTGTTGCTTCCCCATTCTCAGCGTCTGTTTTCTCGCCATCAAATTTGGGCCATGGCGTCGTATTCGCCCACACGCGTTGAATGCGTTGTCCGCCGTAGTCTAACCTCCAGCCATTGATTTGCCAAACGGTTGGCGGGTTCTCGAGTACACCTCCTTCCATAGAATGAATCACATACGCGCTCCAATCAGGATCACGCGCCTCCTCCTTTTCCAGAACTGTGGTTCCTGGTTTGTGAGCCACCCATCTCCAGTCAAATGTTGCGTATCCTCTTTTGTTTCTCTCCTGCTCCTCCCGGACATCTTCCATAACTTCAACATCCAGGTATTCGAGTAGGATACGAAGATGCTCGGCAGCGTCTTTCTGTCTGATGCAAAGTTCATCTTCCTTCTTCGATAGACAATCTTTGCGAAAGTTTTGCAACTCGTCGTAATGGTGTACAAGTACTGGATACGGCTTGGGAATTGTAACATACTCCCCAGATAAGTCCTGTCCTGGGTAATATCGCACAACCGATTGTATGGCGTTGATGAGTGCTATTGAGTGGATTCGAAGAGCATAATTTGGCAGTGGCTGAGAGTTGAGAGCTAGATCCTTATTTGAATCCATAGCCTGAGCGACAACTTTGTAGGAAGTGATGACCTCAAATATTGGGCCGTCGCGCTGATTGATGATGGATTTACTGCCCCTTTCTTGTACCCTCTCGGCAAGAAGGTCGTTAGTGAAGCGGTTGCGGTACTCGACGCGGTAGCCAATCTTCGGTTTCATTAGCCGCTCCTGTCCAGTGGCCTCGAGACTTTGAGGACCATCTTGGACGTGTCCGGTGTGTGCTTCGGAATCCAACTCGTCGTCCTCATCTATAATAGGGATACCAAAAGTACGAGCTGCACTCTCTGCTTCGCTTCCGCTACAAGACTGTGTCATTTCGTCTGCGGTTGTGCGGGTCACCGACATGCTGGGATTGAGTGAAGGCATCTGAGGCATGCGATTTCAAAGAGTAATTTGCACGTCTTTTATTTCATAAAGTTCGAAGCGCCTCCATTGACTTAGGTTATTCGCCCAAGTCTCAGCAGGAGCGGGGTATCAGGCCGTATGTAAAAGGTTGGTCAACGACTAAGCGTCGTGCGGCTGGAGATAAAGCCCCTCGATATTTTACCAATCACTGAGCGAGGACGCAGTACATCATGCCACGTCAGCTGCATGTAAGCTATTGCTTACTGTGGTGCAGAGAATAGTCCGATCAAGAAGGACTTCCCCTCATACTGGGCGCAACACTACCCTCAAATGTTTGTGGGGGTCGCTAAGCTGACGTGAGGTCTATCAGTGCTTCTCGCAGCCTTATGCCATGCTCACCCACCCGTCTTTCACAACTTGGATCACGACTCCGATATAGATCTCAATATGCAGGGATTCGATGATCCAAGATATCTCGTCCGTGCTTACAGCTTCCAGGCCGAGGAGCGTCTGCCCCCGACAAGCGCCGCACAGAGTTTAGCTCATATCCTGGCCGAACATCAAGGAAGTCGCGAAGACGCTCAAGATCCTTGGCGGCGGTTCTTCGAGCCATTCTATTCCAGTGAAGAAGCAAGGTAAGTCATAGCCTATTGATCAAAAAAAGACCTTTCTGCCACATTCTGCGCTAACATTGCTTTGGCGCAGACATTCCAATCACATAACTCAAGTCCTTGATGTCGAGACGGAGCAATTGCGCGTGAAGTGGAAGGAATTCGTAGAGTCTATTTCAGCAGCAGACCGATTGAATCTCAAATTGTCCGAGCCAACTATGAATAGTGTCATCGAAACTGTTCAGGAGATACAACGAGCCTGGGAGTCGAAACAAAGTACCAGTCGGTTTGCTAGGGCGAAGAGGTTGTTCCATAAGTTCTGTGGAACCCTCCATGCTCATAAGGCTCTGATCCAAATACTACCATCTGGTAATGAATACGTCTCAATTTTCACCGGAACTCTAAATGCGGTGATACAAGTAAGTTCACTGCCCTAAGACGTGACAGTTACGCGTTCACATTAAACTCACAAGACTCCCTGTGTTAGGCGAGCGCAAATCACGAGAGGATCGCAGAGGGGCTTTCTGAGGCATTGTGCGTCATGAGTCAGCACGTCGATGACTGTAAGAAGGAACTGCAGTTATTCGACATGGAAGACATGCAGATACTCGTCGCAGACTTGTACGCGCATACTTTTCTCCTTCTGACGAGTGTCATGGACTGGATGATGAAAAAGAGAATTAAGCGCTTTCTTGATTCTTTCAACGATGATCTGCCCAGCATTTTTGAGAACGAACTTAGCAAGATCAAAGGCATTTCAGATCGCGTCCAAAACCTAGCATCGCAAAAGGCTCGAGCAGAACTGAGATCCACAAGGTTAACACTAGAGAGTTCAGCGAGAGATTTGCGGGCGGGCTTCGAGGGCGAGAGGCGGCATCAGGCAGAAATGAAGCACCATGCTGAGAGTATCTTGAGAGAGCAGAGTCGTATATCTGGATTTTGGACTGATGAGAAGCGGCATCAGCTGGCTGACAGCATTGTCAACATGCTGGAAGAGAGGGCGTCCCGTTGGTTGGACAACAGCCAAGCCAGAACGAGCCATCAGCAGATTCCTCCTACGGTTCTTCTGTCACTTGATGGGCCTACACAAGGTATGCCGACTTCTCTTAACGTATTGCTGGTCATCATCGCTCATTTTGTTCACATAGTGTCGGAGTATACTTCTGAATCTGTTGCCATCAGCTCTCGTCATCTGGAGGACTTCTTCTATCGTGATAGAGTTCGACTGCCGTGTGAAGCGTTTGATTCAATAAGAATCCCGGCAGATTCATTCAGGGAAGTCAGTGATTGGGCTAGAGCATCAGCTCCAAACTTGCTGTGGCTTGAGGGCCCTCCTCTCGACGGCGACGACTTCGAAAACCCAGTCACAATGATGGCAGCTACGGTCATAGCCCTTGCCGAGAAAACGAAGTTGCCGGTCATATCATACTTCTGCGAGCGCCGGCGAGGCGAGAGGTTAAGGGAAGAGAACGACACCATAGAAGCACAAGCGATGCTATCTTTGGTTTATGCACTCATCAGGCAGCTGATCGAGCTTCTTCCTCCGTTGCTAGATACTAGTATTGACCTTTCGGAGAGACGGTTCAAGGCTCTTGACGGGTCTCTGGGGAATTGGAGCCAGGCTACCTCAATCCTCGCTGATCTGGGCGGGCTTATGCCTGGTCCGGTGCTTTGCATCATTGATGGTCTGCATTGGCTTACCGATCGAGGAACTGACAACTACCTTTCGGATCTCCTGAAGATCCTACGCGGGGACAAATGGAAAGTTCTTCTGTTTACCACGGGTAGGTCGGTCGTTTTGCAGGATGAGCTCTCGAGGTCAGAGATCTCGACCATCGATGTTCATTCATTCGGACGTGGGGTGGCATTGGACCGACAAGACTTTGATGAATAATGAGGGTTGTCGCGGACGTACAAGGAGGTCGATTCAGAGATCGGCAATGCGATTCCATGTTGACCTATTTCGCCGTAACGTGAGAATCCGATCCACGCAAATGATCACAATCTATTTTCACCGGGGTCGAGCAAATCGTTCTTGGTGACGGGGGACGCTGCCTCCGTACAAACCGCTCGATCGAGCTAGCAGCGGCGCTGTTTCCCGTCCGGTGATTAGCGGCGCAGAAGCGAGCATGGGAGTTGCTTTAGCTCGACGAACAGCGATCATTCAGAAGGATCTGGGGGCACAAGCGGGCTCAGTGAGCCCGATACAACGGTGTGGCGGTCGCACAAGAGAGCACCAAAGTTCCGCGATTTTGAGCAACTTCAACTTCACCTCAACATCGCTCTCAAAGCTGAAGATGCGTCTCTCCTGGCTTGAAGTTGGTCTTGCAGCCTTTGCGAGCCTCGTCGCCGCGTCGTCAAACCATCATGGGGCGAATTGGCTCACGGTGGACACGACGAATGGCCCCATCACCGGACATCTCGCGTCTAATGCCTCAGCCGTGATTGAGTATCTCGGAATCCCGTACGCGAAACCTCCCATCGGCGACCTTCGATTCGCTCCGCCGGTGCAATTCAAGAGCAATGCATCATACGAAGCATCAAAGTTCGGGTTCGACTGCCCGCTGTCACCATCCAAGAAAGTGGACTATCCCGACATCACTCCCCAAGCCCAGCGCATCATCAGCTACTTCGCTTCCGGCGCGGGCACTCCTCAAAGCGAGGACTGCCTCACCCTCAACATCTGGACCAAGCCAGTAAACAAGCTGCAGTCTTCCAAAAAGCCTGTGATTGTCTTTTTCTACGGTGGACGTGAGTAACCCGCGGCAGATTTCCGTCCAGATGCTGACTGAAATCTACAGGCTTTGCCATTGGCAACACCAACAGTCCCTTCTACAACGGCAAGTATTTTGCGGACGCCCAGGACGTGGTCGTGGTGACGGTCAACTACCGCATCAACATTTTCGGATTCCCTGGAATCCCTGGGCAGCCGCAGAACCTAGGTCTGAGAGACCAACGTGCCGCCGTCGAATGGGTGCATGCCAACATTGCCAGCTTCGGTGGCGACCCGAGCAAGATCACCATTGCCGGTCAATCATCCGGCGGCGTTAGCGTAGATTACTGGTCATACGCGTACACCAAAGACCCCATTGTGAACGGACTCATCGCGCCGTCGGGGAATGCATTCAGTTTCCCGTTGAATAGCCCGGGCGTACCTGAGCGGAACTGGAACACTGTTGTTGGGGCTGTCAATTGCACCGACTCTGAGAACGCCCTAGCATGCATGCGTGAGGTGGACTGGGAGGACATCAAGGCGGCTGCCGCGGCTGTCAAGCCGACTTCTAGCAGCAGTGTCCTCCGATCAATTCCCCCATTCTATCCCATTGTCGACAATGAGATTGTCTTCCCAGACTACGTTTCCCTGACAAAGAACGGAAATTTTGCCAAGTTGGTCAGTATTCAACCCTCTCAGTCCCTGTCAAACTGTTACTCAAACAAGCACGCAGCCCATTCTTTTCGGAAACAACAACAATGAAGACGGATACTATCGAATCCCAGCCTACGGAAACGGCGTTGTCCCAACACCTGAGCAAGTCACATCCTTTCTCCTGGAGTCCTTCACCTGTCCCAACCTCTACCAAGCCAACGCACGACTCGCTCAAGGCGTGCCGGCCTGGATCTACCGCTACTTCGGCGACTGGGACAACACCCGCCTCTTCCCCACGAGCGACGCCTACCACGGCGTCGATCTGCACATGATCTTTGGCGCGTCCGGAGATGTCAGCGGTATCCCTCCTTCAGACGCACAAAGAGAGACTACCAAGGCCATGCAGCGAGCCTGGGCTGCGTTCGCGAATGACGCCCAGAATGGGTTGAGTGAGGTGATTGGTTGGCCCAAGTTTGACCCAGAGACAGACTCTCTGATTCTCTTGGCTCAAGGCAACAACCCTCAACCAAGCTTTGTGAAGCCGGAATTGTATGGCGCCCCGTGTTCTACTGTTACTATGGGGGCTCTGGCAACTCCGGCCTCGTCGTTGTAGAGCGACACACTTTCGGTAAAGACAGCAAAAGAGTTGGGCTTGTCTTTCCCGTGATCTCACCTTTTCTATATTATGCACATATCCACATGAAAGACCTTGAGCCTACGATTTTGTAGACAGATTGAAAACTAAAACCAGGATTTGGCCAACTTCGTCTCTTGAGTTTCACCCGCATGTGAATAATACCGCCGTTAATGAAATCCAATCTGTGTTCACCGAACGTTTCCCCGGCCGGAAAGGTAGAGCATACGAACTTCAATTCAGAATTAATGCCAGTATAGCTCTGGCATTGGTGTGGTGGTACCGTCGCAAATACCGGACATAAAGGTAGTGATGAAACGTAGATCCACGACACATCTACCGGCCCTCACCGAACCTCAACCAGCTGTTCCGATCTCCAAGCCAAACAGGTTCCCCCGGGGAGTGTATAAGAAACCTGCGAATCCCACTCCTCAATTTCTTCTCTTTCTTCCTCATCTTCCATAACAGCCTTCGATTTCAATCCCAGCTTCCTCTACAGCTTTGTCTCAGGCTTTCTCCTTTGGCGTTCGACTCCATCTTCCTCTACAGACGGACTCCGCTACCCACCTTCGAACTCTGGCTTTCTCTACAGACAGACTCCTCCAGCCTCTGGCTCGCCTATCCTTCTACAGGTGGGCCAGAGGCACCCGGTGTCGACTCCATCTTCCTCTACAGGTGGACTCCGTCAATCTTTCTGTCAGGATCGTTTCGGAAGGGGCTAGAAAGGGGAGGTAGGGGAACGAGGGGGACGAGGGGGACGAGGGGGATGGGGGAGAACAACAAAGGAGCGGCACGGTTGTATATAGATAGATCACAGGGCGTTCATCACTTAGAAGGGAGGTAGATTTCAGTAATTCATCTTTAGATCCCTTACTGCAATTGGCCCCTGTGAGCGTTCACCCTGTGTCGCAAACCTACTGACACTGTTGCTTCCTCTTCCTTCCTTCGCAGGTACAATTGCGTACCTTAGGATTGTTTCCATGTCCCTCAGCTGCTGTACCGCTTCAGATGTGAGTGGTGCACCTATCGCACCAGTTTACCGCTCGATGGCATATGTCTTGGAAATCAGTGAGATTTCATGCTAGGCGAAGGCATCGTCAATCGCATGATCAGAGGCATGAGCAAATTTTTCTCGATACAAGGCTCTCGTGGCATCCTCGACTCTCTTCCAGCATCTTCTAGAATCATCTTCTCTTTGCAGGCAGCTTCTCGTGGTCGGTGAGCAACCCGGAAACCCGGTTGTCGCATTCTCCACGGAATTCTGCATCGTAGGCGTCACGAGGCTCGTTTTGGATGAGAAGGTTGCTTCATCTACCTAGGCAACACAATGAAATCGCAACCTTGGTGGTTTGCCATCGTTCCGAATGAAGGCATTCCCAACCCATCAGTCCTCGCATTCTCCACAACACTCCGTGCCATAGACACCGGGAACGGTCCAAGTCGGACGCAATGGTTGCCCCAACCACGGCAACCTAGGGAATCACGAACTTTATGCCAATTACACCTCCAAACCCTCACCGAAATTGATATCCAGGTCAATCACCCCCATCAATAGAATCCAGCCAGCTCCCATCCCCAATCTCTATATAACCCCAAATTCCCTCTCTCTCCGTCTCTCCTTTCCTTCCTCCTCCTCATCCGCTAAGTGCTTCTGCATACGCGAGCCTCCACCAAAGAAACAACCCTGAACTAGGGCGGGCATCCACAATGACCCGCGAGTTCCAGCAGCGGTCGCCCCCAGCCTTGGCCTCTCTTCTCCGTCTTGGCTCCTCCTCCTCTTCGGCCTTCGAACACTGGCTTCCTCTACAGCCACGACTCAGGCCATGCCAGCGCTAGCTCTCCGGAGCCAATATCGCTGATGGGCCCTCGAACTCTGCCTTCCTCTACAGGTAGACTCGGGCTTCCAGGACTTCGACAACGACACTTCCGACTTCGACACTTTCGACTTCGACACTTTCGACTTCGACACTTTCGACTTCGACACTTTCGACTCCGACTTCGACTTTGACAACCAGCCCCCCTGCACAGCCTTTGAACTCTGGCTTCCTCTACAGCTACGGCTCGGGCTTCGCCTTCGACTCTATCCTTCCTCTACAGGTAGACTCAGGCAACTGGTTGTCGCCCGCCACCTTCGACACTTTCGACATCTCCAACCACCAACACCACCAACACCACCAACACCTCCGACACCTTCGACACCTTCTAGATAGAATTTTTAGCTTAGAAAAAAGAGAAAACATAACACCCATATAAACATTTATTCGCATGAACCGTGCGTGCTATTGATCTGGGTGACAAACATGTTGCGCACCAATATGAAGTTTCTTTCCCAGACCAATCTGCCAGACAAGGGCCGTGCGGATATTGCAATTTGCCGATGCCTCCCATGCGGCACGTTTCCACGCACTCAGGTGGATGAGTGTATCAAGTAACACCATAGTCCGTGAATCACAAGTTACTTCAGCAAATTGACAGAGGAACTTTTACTATTAACACTACTGCGGCGGCGCATGAACTGTACTTCGCGCTCGCCCTATCCATCAGATATACAAGACTCTCGGATGTATGTATGCTGCAGAAGCTGTGGGAGTGTGCGCGCAGTGCCAAGCTTTGCACTCGCGATTCTACGATGATATCGGCCGTTTCCATGAGGTTAACACTTGGTATGCCAACCTCTCATCTAATTCAAATGTCTTGACTCCATTATCCATGTATGATGCAAGGCTTGATCCACAAACACCTCCTTCACCCTCCTCTCCCTCCTTACGTACAAAATTATTGGGTATCGATGAGTTTCGCTACCAGTTGCAAAACATAAAGTAATGGTTGATGAAGAAGTTGTAAACGTTGATGATTATGAGCGGTAGCGGGTGATACCACGTGAAGCCGTTGAGAAGGCGCCAGGTGACAACACCGACCATGGCACCAGTAACGACAAGAGTCCAGAGGATGCACAGAATTCGCATGTTGCGATACTTGTTGCTCTTGTGGGCCTTGGCGTCACCAGAAGCTGCCCAGAGGAGTTCAATGTTGAAGAGGCGATCCTTGATGGCGGTGAGGTAGGCGTAGCTCTGGATTGTCACCACATGCTGTACGTTGAAGCCGTACTTGGCCTTCGCCCATACGCGCATGAGAATAACACCGTAGAGAATCGAGGGAATGGCAAAGGCAAGGTTCCAGAACTTGAACCATTCGGGACGGATGGCAAGCAGAAGAGTACCTGCGATCGGGGCCAGGAAGATGTTAAGCGAGACAGCAGAGTAGTAGAGGAAACCTGGCATGTTAGCTGTGAATGATTGGCGATCGCGAGAATGAGACTTACCAGAGAGGTAGCAGATCTTCTGCATGAGGGTGAGGTTTGAGACCCAGAAGTGACCGTTGGTCAACAGCGTGGTAGATCCACGGGCCCAACGCATTTGCTGGGAGAAGAATGCTCGAGGGGAATTGGGGCAGACACCAGTGGCAAGGCAGAGAGGGATGTACTTGACCTTCCAGCCACGATCAACAGCGCCGAAACTACACAACGTTAGCCCTGTTCACGATTTCTCGCATCGCCGAACTTACCCAGTATGGACATCCTCGGAGAATCCAATCTCGGCCGTTCCGCCAACCTCAACCAGAGCCTCGCGACGGTAGAGAGCGTTGCTTCCAACACAGATTGATGCGCCCCACTTGTTGCGGTTGACCTGAACGACACGATAGAACAGCTCCTGTGTGGCACCAGCACCTTGCTCAACCCAGGTCTGGTCGTCGGTGACTCGGAAGTACTGAGGGCTCTGGACCAAGGCCGTCTTATCGTCGCCCAGGTGTTCCACAATCAGTTCCTTCACGAAATCGGGGCGGGGGCAGAAGTCTGCGTCGAAGATGGCAAAGAAGTCACCATTAGTGCGTGCGAAAGTCCATCTCAAGTTGCCGGCCTTGCGGAGGCGGGGCCGATCGTCGCGAACGGAGTAGTTGAAGCCGTACTGTTCGGCAAGAGCCCGGACAGTAAGGGAAGCGCTGTCATCCATGACGTGTACTTGAAGCTTGGAGGCGGGCCAGTCGATGTTGACAATGTGCTTGTAAGTGTTCTCCAGGATCTCGAGAGGCTCGGAGCAGCAAGGCAGGAAGATGTCCACAGTTGGCGCGTTGTCCTCGGTAATGGGGAAGCGTTCCACCAGTTCCAGGTGACCCTTGTAGTCCCAGTCTTTTCCAATGATACCGACGGCATACGAGATCAACAGGTAGATGCACATGGCACCTGCGAAAACACCGTACCAGTAGAAAGCCGGGGCAGATAGCGCAAACAACCACATACCAGCGCCGAGCGAAAGGAACGAAAACACGCCAAAGACGTAGAGCAAAATGCGGTTGGTGTGAACGTAGGTGAGCTTCTCTGTGTCGTTAGGGCAGACAGGCAGCACCAGAGGCGGCTCCTCCTTGGGGCAGTAGGTCGCGCGGAAGCGGTTGTACAGGCGCTTGGGGAATGATTCGCCCGTGGATGGCGGGAGGGCCGTCGTGTGCTTCTCGTTGGCCTTCTCCGGGTCGGACACGACGGGCGGCACATGGTTGGCTTCAATGTCTGTGTCTGACGACGAGTGCTGGTGGCCTTTTTCGTTATAGACCTCTCGCGCCAAAGGCGAAGGCTCCTGTTTCGCGGTCAGCCGGAGTTCCTTCCGTAGCTCGGGTGGCAGCGAGGATATGTAAACACTTACGATGTCAGGTCGGCTAAGGCGGTGATGGGAGGAGTCTGCCAAGCTGGTTCTTTGGCCTGATCTTTGCGGGGTGTCTGTGGGAGATGGACCATTGATGGCATTCTGACAGGAATCAGTCTCTGCTTCGTCGGGTTTGGGATCGTCGCATGAGGACGTTGTAAACATACCACAGTGAAGGTGGAATCGCTGGCCAGAGAAGCGACAGCGCTGGAATCGTTGTCGGTATCGAAAGGGTTCGAAGCAAAGGGATTATTCGGGGGCGTCAAGCCCGAGTCGGGGGAACCTCCCCGGGGAGTGAGAGGACGTGACATTATGGTATTAGTGGTGGTGACCTGGAATCCAACAGAGAAGATTCGTCAAACGGTCGTGTGGAGGATAGCGAGAGAAAGTTTCCGTCGACGGGAGCACGAAGGCGCCAGAGGAGGAAACAAGTCAAACAAAAATGGCTCTCAAGTTGTCGATGGTCTCTCCCGTGACGTTGACCTTGGACGGCGGACGGGGTGAAGGGCGTCTGGATAGCGAGAGCGGGGAAGGTAAACCGAGACAAGAAGCAAAAGAAAATCCCAAAAATCAGCGAACGTCGTCAAAGCGAGTGACTAGAGACGTGTATGGTGTTTTGAAAAAATGGTGTCCAGCCTCGTGGAGCGTGGAGCTAGTGTAGCGAGTGTAAGGCGGCGAAAGCAAGCAACGATGGCAGCGTGTGCGCGCGTATCTAGGATACGCAGGTGCAATCTTGAGCTAACGACCAGCCTCTGCGAGTAGCGACGGACGGAGGCAGGAAAGGTTTTGTTAGAGGCAAGCCACCCGGGATCCGTATCTTAGCTGGCGGAGAGGGGGAGGAGAGGAGGAGGAGGCGGTGGTGGTGGTGGGAGTCGGAGGGGCGTGGAGGAGAAACAAAACGGGTGTCGATGGTGAAGGAGTCATGGGCAGACAAAAAGCAGGACCCAAAGTCAAGGTAAGAAGGAACGGGGTGAGTGTGGTGAATCTGAGGCAGAAAGACCAGGGCAGGTAGGTACCTTCCCATGTGGCAGGTGGTGGAAGATGGGAGAGGAAGGCACGCCCGCAGTCACAAACATCACACAGCAACAGGCGATGCAGAGACAAGGCAGGCGCAAGTGAGTCGTCCGTCTGGCGTCTGTCACCAATGGGAAGGAGCGGCCGTCGTCTGCAAGGATGGATACGGTCGGTACGGAGCCGAACACGGGCTCACCATCTACGGATACTCTACTTGGGTAAGTCGTGTGCTTCTCTCCAGAGAGGCCTCGTCCGTCTCTATTCGTTGCATATTGCCCGAGCAATGCGACATGGGATGGACTTTTTCTGCCCCTGCCATGGAATTCAGGAAAGCCCACTCAGATCATGGGCAACAGATGTGAACTGGGTCACCGGGATGCGGCGATTGGGTAGCAGCATGGGAGGGGCAAGAAGTGCAGATGGATGGTGGCCTGCATTTTTCTTAGTCTCGTACTCCTTGACCATGAAAGAGCAGGTAGACAGAGAATCAGAGCGTTCGTGACATCAGTGCCAAGATTAAGTCAGATTGCCTGCGCGGACGAACTCCACAGACGGAGGATGCGAGGTTCCCATGAAGCTGCAGATGGTCTAAGGCAGGCAGGCAGGCAGGGATGGGCTCGTACCGTTGGGGCACCAGGTAGGAGTAGTGCTCGCGGGATACCTTGCCGTGAGACGGAGAAAGACGACGGTGACAGCCCGACCAGGGGAGGAGTGAGACGGAGGAGAACAAAAGGACCAAGACAGGGGAACGAGAACGATAGGTAAGATTCAGTATCAGGACAACCGCTCGATGCCTTGAGGTGGAGGCGCCAGCGCCGCACCCGCATCGCTTTGCCTCAGTGGCAGTGGCAGACCATTACGGTAAATATTTCTAGTAATAACCAGGGCGAGAAGGCAGGTATCAACTCGGTAAATACGGTACGGAAGCATGCGAGATAGATGGACTGAGAGAAGCGAGCCAGCTGGAGGAATAAGGTACTGCGGAGGCGGACTTGGCCGCAAGGTGAGGTGGACAACCGCCATGAAAAGGGGCCAGGGAAACGAAGAACGCCACAAGCATCATCGTAACTGCCGGGGCAACAACGGGGCCCGTTTGTTGGCTTTTTCGAAAGTTTTGATTTGCGCAGGTGAAAGAAGATGGGAACTTCAAATTAGCGCATGCGCGGCACATTGAAAAAAAAAAGGTGCAAGAAAGAGCCGCCAAGTAGCGGGATTCTTGGGGGTGGAGGGCGACGGGAAGTGGAAGTGGATGTCACTTTTTGACAGGGCAGCCAGCCGTTTGTTAGTCTCGGCCACCGGCGCCTGCCCAGACCAGAACGACGACAGGCGACAGCAGGAAGGTGCATCCATTCCCTCCTGCCTGCATTGCAATTGCAGCAGCTCCTGCAGCCACGACGCCGCCTCATCTGGTCCTTCCCGGATTGCAGCTGCACCCCCACTCTTCATTTCCTACGGCGGGCGGGTGCGATGTGATGCTCTTGCCATCAGGCAGTCTCTTCCTT